TTTACCATCCTTAGAGTGTTTGTGGAAGAGAGTATGATCAGTATGTGCTTGAATGAAGCCTCTTCTTTTGACAGCTTGTGTGGATTTGTCAAAACCATTCTCTAGGAGATTGTTTCAATCCATATAGAGACTTTTTTAGTTTACACACTAATCCATTTCCCTTTTTAAAACCAGGTGGAGGATCTATATAGACCTCTTCATGTAAGTCACCATTTAGGAATGCATTCTTCGCATCTAACTGTTGCAAAGGCAAATCTAAGTTGGCAACAAGTGATAAGAGAACTCGGATGGTATTGACTTTAGCAACTAGAGCAAAAGTCTCATGATAATCTATCCCATGAGTCTGCGTGAACCCTTTTGCAACCAATCTTGCCTTGTATCTATTGATCCTATTATATGAATTGAATTTTATTGTAAACATTCATTTCCATCCTACTGCCTGTTTTTCCTTTGGTAGGGTCATTATCTCCCAAGTTCCATTTCTTTCTAAAGCATTCATTTCTTCAAGGACAACATCGCTCCATTTTTATCATTGAGAGCCTCATGTATATTTCTCGGTATCTTTGTACTCTCCAACATAGTATTGAAAGCACAGAACCCTGGGGACAACTTTTCATATGAAACATGATTAGAAATAGGATGATTAGTACAAGATCGAGTACCTTTTCTAAGAGCAATAGGCAAGTGTAGATCATTTTTATCATGACACTCAAGTGTTGGGGTGCTGGAATTAGAACTTAGTTCAAAATCCTGGCAGTGTAGAGGTTCTGGGTTATTCATACTTTGAGGAGGCTTTCGGCTGCTATAAACTTGTCCCCACTTTGAGGAAGCTCCTAATGGTGAGGATTCTATAGCTCCCCCTACTTCCAATAGTAGAGGTAATACTATAGCATTAGTAGGTTCCCATGACTGATCTTCATCTGCTCCTATAGACTCTCCCTGAAGAGAAGTCAAGGGAAAGAAAGGTTGAGTCTCAGAAAATATGACATCCATAGAGACAAAGACCTTACGAAGATAGGGTGAATAACACTTATAAACATGTTGAGTAGGAGAATAACCAATAAAGACACACTGGAGAGACTTAGGATCAAGCTTAGACCGTTGATGAGAGGGAATATGGACAAATACAACGTAACCAAATAACTTGAGAGGTAGGGAAGAGATGCCTCGGAAAGAAGAAAAGGTGCAAAAAAGACTAGAAAAAGGAGACTGAAAGTTGAGAGTGCGAGATGACATTCGATTGATCAGATACGAGGAAGTGAGAACGGTTTCCCCCCCAAAGATATTTAGGAGCACTCATGGTAAACATAAGAGCTCGAGAAACTTTAAGGAGATGTCAGTTTTTTCTTTCTGTAACTCCATTTTATTGGGGTGTGTCAGGACACGAGCTTTGGTGAAGGATGCCATGTTGGGAAAGATATTCTCCAAGAATAGAGTTAAAATACTCTTTGCCATTATCTGTATGAAGAATTTGTATAGCAACTTGGAATTGAGTTTGAACCATGGCATGAAACTTTTTAAAAATGGATGCAGCATCTGACTTGTCCTTTAGAAGGTATATCCAACAAACTCGGGAATGGTCATCAATGAAGGTAATGAACCATCGAGCACCTGAAATATTCTTGATACGCTGGACCCCATATCTCACTATGAATTAAAGAAAATGGGGAAGATTCATGGTGAGCTTTAGAAGGATAATGAACACGAGTATGCTTGGCAAGTTGACAAATATCACCAGAAAACAAACTAGGACTTTTATTAATAAATGAGTTTGGTAACAACTTCTGAAGATAGATAAAATTGGGATGGCCTAGCCTACGGTACCTCACCATAACATCATTACATGAATCAAAAGGAAACATAGAGTCTTTTTCCACAAAAATAGCTTTATGAGTCACATCCTCCTCAAAGTAGTAAAGTCTGCTATCCTCTCTAGCACTGCCAATCATCCTCTCTGAGTCCAAACACAACCATGTGGAAAGAATTTAGCAAAACAATGCAACTCAAAAGTAGGTTGCTAATGGAAATGAGATTGCAAGTGTAACACCTCGTGTGCACCCGGTGTATTAAACATATAAATGGTAATAAACGCAGCTTAATAAATGCGGAAGCTAAAAATTTCCAATTATGATTCATTCATATTATCTTGGTAAATCTATTTCAAAAACCGCTTGTATGTAAATTGCAATAAATAACTAGACTGAATAACCTCATAATATAAATAGTGTATCAAGTCATGGAACTACAACACGTAGACCAGACATGTCCTGATACAATAATACAACTCCAGATAGAAATAACACAGCTTATTCAAATGTGGCATGGACAACCATATGCTCACCAAATAAAGCAACATAATCAATAAATCATGTCTCAAGTACAATAGCCATAAAGATATAACAACAAGGTAGAAATCATAATAACATAGCAAGGTGCATGCATTATCTCAACTCAACTCCGGCCTCCTACCGCTAGAGGTCTCAACCTCAGAAGTCCCTGTACCTGAAAATGTGCCTCACACGGGATGAGATCTCTAACAAGAAATCTCAATAAAAGGGGCCCTCAAGGATCTCTCCACCCTAAGCTCACTTATATGTGCAATATAAATTCAAAACGATGACAATAGTAAATGGCAAAATCTGTGCAATGCAGCATAGGTCCATGTTGTGTGTGTATGCATCCTACTGGCCAGAGAATAAAAGGTAGGGATTACGTACATCTACAACCCACAGTAAAGGAGTCCACCATGTACCTCACACACGGAGTTACCATCTTGCATGTAGCCCGACATGCTCAGGGATTATCATCTCGTGTGGAATATCGCGTATACATAAACATATGGCAAATGCACAATATATTAATACAGCTCAACAAATTCAAATTTATTAGCTCGGCCTCAACCTTGAGCTTAGCCCAGCGAAGAGCTTCAGGATTTTCAACTCAGCTCAGCCTAGGGCTTCAAGATTATCAGCCCAGCCAAGGGCTTCAAGATTATCAACCCAGCCAAGGGCTTCATGATTATTAGCTTGGCCTTAGCCTTGAGCTTCAACTCAGCCCAACCAAGGGCAAGGGCTTCAAGTTTAACAATTCAACCTCAGCCTTGAGTTTCAACTCAGCCTAACTAAGGGTTTGATGATTATTAGCTCGGCCTCAGCCTTGAGCTTCAACTCAATCCAGTTAAGGGCTTTAAATTTAACAACTCGACCTCGGCCTTCAGCTACAACTCAACCGAGCTTAAGCAAAAAGACAAAAGTAGCTCCCATATACTCATGACATAGGCAGTAAGCCAAATCCAAAAAGGGGAAGTTGCGGTAAGAGAAGCAGTACTCCCTAAAGAACAACACACATTTGCAAAAAGCAATGTCAAATCCATGCTATTAAAGATCTCAGTGTGCGAAACTGAGTTGGAACTAGAATCGCGACGTAAGAAGTTGGGTTCGGATAAAAAGGCCACCGCGAATGAAGCGGGACTCAAAGTAAAAAGCCACGGCAAAAAAAGTCAAGCTTCAATTCAAAGAGGCAAATTCTGCCTCCATAAATATAAGACTTCGGTGAAAGAAGCCAAGTCACAATGGAAAGCCACGGTATGTGAAGCTGGGCTCAAACAAAATATGGTGAAAGTCAATGCAAGAAATATAAAGCGTCTATGGCTAAGTCATAAATATAAAAGCCACGGTATGATAAGTCAGGCTCAAGAATGAGAATACAACCTTCGCAAACAAGACTGGAAAAAAGTCCAGTCCAACAATAAAGCCATGGTACGTTAAGCCGGGCTAAAATCAGAAAAGCAAAGGTACCGCCTTCAAAAGCGTAGACAAGGCAAAAGACAAGTCAATTTAAAGCAAGCCACGATATGTGAAGCCGGGATCAAAATGAAGAAGGCGAAAAACCATCCTAATAACTTAAGACTGCGGCAACAAAGCTAAGTCGATATAAGAAAGACTCGGCATACGATGTCGGGCTCCTATTCAAGATTTTGGCAACGAAGTCAAGTGACAAGGCTCGCGACCCAATAAGCCGAGCTTAGATAAAACATCAATCGCGAGTGAAGCGGGGCTCAAAGTAAAAAACCACGGCGAACTAAGTTGGGCTCAGATAAAAAAGTCATCACCAAAAAGTGAGGCTTAGATAAAAAAAAAACCCATGATAAACGTCGTCGGGCTAAAAGCCAAGGAGGCGAACATCTCCTTCGCAATCTTAAGATTACGGCAAAACAAGTCAAATACAAGGGCAACTACAAACAATACTGCTTCAATAAAGAAGTCAAGTCAAGATCACCCCTTTAGACTTAGTTAAGTTATACGTCATTTTGATGTATTAAGGGACCCTGCTATATTAACTTATACTATACGATGGTCATATCAAACAACTAAAAATGTCATAACATATAGTATAAACTTATACTATCAAGCCTTATATATCACACAAAACAGACCATTAAAAGTTTATTAATTATAATTAACAAACAATAAGTGACTAACTATTAACCTCCTCATATATCTAGGGGTGTTACGGGTCGAGCCGAGCTTTGGTCTTAAAAGGCTAAGCCTGTGTTTAAATGTGTCAGCCTGACCAAGCCTGTTACCTGTTATAAATATAATTATCGGCATGTGGCCTGCTTATTTACAAAAAATAAAAGTCTGATTTAGCCTGTCTAAAAAAAATAAGTCAACAAAAATTTATCCAAACAAAATATAAAATCAACAACATTAGTAATTTCATAAATATTCATAAATTCAATATATATCTAAACAACATAATATAAAACAAAATCATTCAAAAACTCCGTTAAATCAATAAAATGGGATGAAATGGATTAAGGAGAAAAAATAGCTATTACAAATATAAGAAAAAAAATACTAAACCAACCTGAGAGAGACCCGAATTCAAATTTGGTGCCAATAATTAATTTTAGACAAATAAATTTAGATCTTCACTCAAAAGTCCACTAATTAGTTTATCACCGCAACATGTATCAATACTCGTATGAAAAAGATGAATACTTTTTAGGACAACACAACTTCCTCACCATCATCTGATAGCAATTAAAGAAAAAAATAATAATAATAAAGAGAGTAAAATTCGGGACAGACAAAACGTGCTTTTGGCTCCAAGAAACAAGAAGAGATGGCATATTCTCCCATATAAAGAGGTTCAAGGTTTTCTTCTTCTTCTTCTTCTTCTTCTTCTTTCAGTTTCGCTTCTTTTGCATATTCGAAACCAGCAGCAACAAAGCGTTACATGAACTCTTCCGTTTTCTGCTGAATCTCAACACTCACTCCAATGGCCGCATCCGAGATTAACTGGGACAAGTATACTTTGCTTTTTATTCTTCTTTTTTTGCAATTTCCGCTGTTCATTCGTTCATTCCATTCCATTTTCCCCGTTTTTCATTTCTGATTTAGGTTTTCTTTTTCTTAATTAATTTTCTTTTAATGCTATTGCTGTGTAACCGTTCTATAAATTGCTGTTGCTGTAGTTGTATACTGTAGTTTCTTGCGCTATTAGATGAAGGTTTTCTTTGTGTACGAGAATGAACCGAAATCAGAATCAAAGAATGGGTAGAAAAATGAAAAGCATATATACTACAGGAAATTTAGTATTAACTGTTGAATACTGTTTGGTATTGCTTTCGAGCTGGTAATGTAGTAATAACTGTTGATGACTGTTGATTTTTGCTCAATAAGAAGACATCTTCGAGTTAATAAGATTCAAGATTCAAGGTTGCGTCATGCTGCTTGTATTGTTGCTCTCATTTTCCTATTGAGAACAATAATTAAGAACGTTTTTCATGTGATTTTAGATACCCCTAAACTTTGGCACAACTTTTAGTATTGTCAGCATGTACTTTAGCCTCTTGCAAATGCAAGGTAAGGCTGACTACTATAGACCCACATAACGGGTCTGACCATTCCTTAGACCCCACACAAAACGTGAGTTTTATAGCACCAACTTGCCCTTTTTTAGATACCCCACTATTTTAGGGTAAATTATTTTGTGTTCAATCTTTCATATGTGGGAACTAGGTGATATATGGTATTGGTTTGTTATAAAAATATTTCACTAATAATGAACTTAGCATCTAGAAGCTCTATATTCTTATTAAGTTCACTCATCTCTGTAGGCTAGATAAAACAAAGTTCTATGTCGTAGGAGCTGGACTCTTTACGGGTGTTACAGTGGCACTCTACCCAGTTTCTGTTGTGAAGACTAGACTGCAGGTTGCTTCAAAGGATACTTTGGAGAGAAATGCATTTTCTGTTGTGAAAGGATTACTTAAAACTGATGGCATCCCTGGTTTGTATAAAGGGTTTGGCACAGTTATAACTGGTGCAGTTCCTGCCAGAATCATATTCCTCACTGCTTTAGAGACCACAAAGGTGGCTGCCTTCAGGATGATTGAGCCATTTAGACTATCTGAAACTACCCAGGCTGCCATAGCAAATGGAGTTGCAGGCATGACATCGTCACTTTTCTCACAGGCTGTGTTTGTTCCAATTGATGTGGTATGATTATCTAATTCATGTAACCTGAGATACTGAGCATGACTGCCTGTATTATATCTTAGAATATTCTAGAGTATCTTAGATGAACCTTTAGGAGTGTTATTTCATTATATTCCATGATTTGTTTCCGTATTTAATTGTGAGGCCTTAAAGAATGTCTGTGGCAGAAAGAAGAAAAATAATAGAGCTGGTCCGAATGGGACAAATCTTGTGGTGCCAGCAGTAGGCCCAGATGAAAGGACTCAGCCAAGCAGGGGAGCACAACAAAATTGCCCAGCACAACATAATTGGGAGGGAATGAGAGGGGGTTAGTTAGAGGAGAGATAGAGAGAGGGACATAATGACTTGAGGGTGAAATGATGGATATAGGGAGGAAAACGTGAGAGGGGCAGTCCTCTGGTTTTTCTTTATCATTGCTATTTTCTGTTTCAAGGCTGTTCTCAGCCATAGTAGTTCCTATTTATTTCATTGATTGATGATTTTAAGGAACTTGTCTCCATTTCTATTTCTTGAATTCCAGTTCGGTTAATTGAGGTTTCATCATTTAATTAGGTAGGATTAGGAGTCTAGTATTATTACAGTGCTTTGTATTTTGTATCACATCATATTACTTCATATCAGTTGATTCAATTTAATATCCTATATTCTTAGTCTCTATTCTCTCTCTTTCTCCTTCCTTACCTAAACCCTATAGTTTCAACCATTATAATATGCTAATTACTTTTACATTGAATGATATTCAGATTAGCCAAAAGTTGATGGTCCAAGGATACTCAGGCCATGCCCAGTATAGTGGGGGTTTGGATGTTGCTCGTAAGGTGCTAAGATCTGATGGCATCAGGGGATTATATAGAGGGTTTGGTCTATCTGTTATGACTTATTCACCATCTAGTGCTGTATGGTGGGCAACTTATGGATCGAGTCAACGCTACATATGGAGGTGAGACATGGTAATGCATGTTCTTCAGTCTTATCCTTGGGTCATTGTTGTAATACCTTTTCCTTTACTTTTATATTGGATCTGTTGACTAACGAGTTTTGCTGTCGGTGGACAGTGGGTCCATCGGGTATTCATCTATTAGGGTTTAGGGTTGCTGCTTGTCAAGCTCTTGATACCGTATTGAATAGGAAGAAATCAAGAGGCTTATGATGTAATCTGTGTTTCAATTACACAGTGGAGGCTCTACTATATAGCTAAACATAATAATTACAAAAGGAATAATAAACAATGTAGGACTTCATCCCTTTCAATATACTACTTTATTTACAATATTCACAGCAATATCAATTATCAAATGGTAAGAAAAGCGAAATATCTCTAGAGATTCGTCTGTTCAACCTGACATATTTTCCTTTTAAAGTTGAATCAGAACCATTAGGTATATGCCACCATTAGTATTTTTAGTGTGTTGAAAGATCTTGTATGATGTAGAATGGAGAAAGCATATTTAAGGATTATCGTGTTATTTAGGGATTATTATGTTATTCCTAGATATTTTAGAATTTCTTCTTATTTAAGAGATCTGTCATTATTTTTTGGGATTTTATCTTTAATATGTTCGGAGGAAATTACTATAATTTTAAGATTTATTTCCTTCCTATCTAACTGGATTTGATTAGGATTTTATATGTTAGGAAATTAATATTTGATTAGGATTTTATATTTAATTGGGGTTATTGTTCTAGGCGGTGGAGTATTCTGTCTTGCGAGAACTCTAGGTTTATTACTCTAACCTGAAGGGTACTTTGCCCTAAAGGAGTACTCGAGACTTATCAGTGCTCATCACTGAATACCTTCGTAATCCATTAATTGGTTAGGTCTTCAATTAAAATGCTTGCTATCTTCTATGTAAATGTTCTTTATATAAATTGACAGATCAAAAGTATCTCATATATCTTCCATCTAAGTTAAAGATATGTATATTTGGTGTATTGAAAGGACATGACAAAACTGCAAAGAATCTTATAAAGACTGTTAGAGAATTATATAAACCATTAATGAGCTTTCACTTAACAGCCTAAGCTTTTGGGTTGAATTGGTTATTTACATGGTATCAGAGCTTTAGTAACCACGAGGTTATGGGTTTGATCCCCCTTGCTCCCCACTTTTGTGGAATTTTTTAGCATAGGTAGGTGAACCTGTGCATTATCCACTCTTCATACCCAGTAGGCTTTCGTGTGAGGAGGCATGTTAGAGAAGTATATAAACCATTAATTGGCATTCACTTAACAATTTAAGCTTTTGGGTTGAATTGGTTCTTTGCAAAGACCCTTTAAGTTTAATTTTTTCTTGGTCAGATTAATGTAATAGATTCAGGCTCAAAAGATTGAATTGTGTTGCTTGAAACATGTGTTAGTGTAGCTGTGTTGAAGTGAGGAAAGTTGGAATTTCTTCTCGATTGAGAGAACCTATCAAAATAACAAACCAATTTTGCAGTGAGCTTAAGTTTTTATTTCAAGATTTTAGAATGGTAGATTTTACCAGTTATATGATAATAAACTTTCAGTACATCAAATGCATACCAATATTTTATTTGTGCATTATTAAGCAAACTTCCTGATATTAAGGACAATTATCACTGGTTGCTTTGGTAGATTCTTGGGAGATGGTGTTGAATATAAGGAAGGTACTCCTAGTCTACCAAAGATTATTTTAGTTCAGGCAACTGGAGGAATTATTGCTGGTGCTACTGCATCCTGCATTACAACCCCATTGGATACTATCAAGACAAGGTTACAGGTATTCATAAGCTTGTTGACAATGTTTATTCATCTTGCTTAAGTTCACTGTTTTATCTGGTCATCACTCTAGTGTGGTTGCTAATTCTTGTATTTGGTTGTTATAATTTAGTGGTTGTTTGTTATATGTTTACTTATGGTTTGTGTTAAAGTAATAAGTGTTTGGTAAATTCACAAGAAATTTAAAAAATTCCAGTGCTATTCTTCATTTCATCCTCCTAGCCTGAATTATATGTTTGACATCCCCATCAGTTGCCCCTGCACTTTGTAAGATGAATCCAAGATACCTGAACCGTGCAACTTGTTGTATGATGTGATACCCGATTTCCACCTCCAAAATCGCATCTTAGTAAACTTGCATTGTACATAGTACATACTTTGCCTTCCTCCTACTTAGCCAGAAACCCTTTGATTCTCAATCTCAAGCTTTTCTCCATAACTAAAGTTTAAAATTTAGTCTACCCTACTTAATAACTCGGAATCAATCATCTACAAAAAGCATCTAATGAGACACTGGCCCTTGAATATGCCTGCCTACTAAGAACATCCAATACCAAGGCAATAAAGTCTGAATTCAAAGTCTACCCTTGGTGCAAACTTATTGTTACAGGAAAATTTTCGTTACACCTCCAATCTCCATGCATTTGCGCACTAGTTTTTGATATAACAAACATGTTTAAATATCAGATTCAAAACATCATTTGCTTTTATGTAGGACATTTGTAAATAATTTAATCTTGTCATTTGTAATGACAATGTAATCATTGTATCCAAGTGCCATGCTATTTTTTTTTTAAATGATTTATGTGATACTTTCTTTGTTGGTCCAGTTATAATGACAGATGCTTTTCTCCAAGGTTATCAAATCACAATTCAAATCCTGTATTGTCAAACTAATTATTCAAATCCAGAATCGTAAATCGTACCTAATCGTAAGATTTAGATACACAATGAAAAATATCTTGAAATATATCATATAAATGTTGTATAATGCTCATTGTTCATAATATTTATATTATGAACTAGGAATTAACAAAACAACTTAATAATAAGTCTGAGAAAAAAGTCGCAAGTTATAAATAAGTCACAAAAAGTGATGGCCTGAAGCTTATGTTTTAGAAGAATATAAAAAGAGCAATGATATAGACAAATAAGGTGCATATACAGTGACCGAGTGACTGAGTGAAGCCTTTCTTTTAGAAGAATGAAAACAGAGCAATGAAAAAGTCAAATTGGATGTATAGAGTGACTGAGTGACCATGTGAAGTTCCTGTTTCAGAAAGATGAAAACAGGGCACTAGAATAATCAAATAGGGTGCATAAATGGCGTTCCTTTAGTTTCTTTTGATAAAAGAAAAGCAAAAAAGAAAAAAAAATTACAGTTTGCTGAATTGTGCAATTCACATCAATAATATGGAATTACACTAATTCGTGCATGTATGATAGTACGAATCAATGCCATCTTCGATTTATTACATGATACGATTGCTAGCTTGACAAATTGTATCGAATCTTGCGATTCAAACAACTATTTTTTCTCTCTTTTGTATAGCCCTATAGATCAACCTTCTCTTTTCTCTCTTTCCCTTTCTCTCTTTCTGTAATTTTTGACTGGCCTTAGATATTTTGGATGCAAAGACAATGATACATGTGTTGGTCCAGTATAGAAGATCTCATTTTCAAAAAGATGACAACAAAAATGGAAGAATTAGAACAACATTTAATGATTATTATGTAATGTTGTATTTGTACTTTACTTGCTCAAACTCAAATTATATTTACTTAGCCTGTCACTGCCTACTCAGTTTTTGACTCAATGGCTTGCGCTATAGGTGATGGGACTTGAAAAGAGAAGCTCTGTAAAACAAGTTGTTAAAGACTTGATCAACGAAGATGGATGGAAAGGTTTATATAGAGGATTAGGTCCAAGATTTTTTAGCATGTCAGCATGGGGTACTTCAATGATATTGACTTATGAGTATTTAAGTAAGAACTCTTGCTTTCTGATTACATTCTGTGTGTGTTTCTACTTTTGTCAGCTTATTCTGGTCTGGTGTATTCAAATATTGAAATAACTTTTAATTTAAATTCAGTTCCAATAATCATTGATTTAGTGCGTGTTTGTTTCGGCTTATTTTTGGGAAAATAATCCTTTTTTTTTTCACAAGTTCTCTCATGTAGTTGTGAAAGAAAAAGGTGATTATTTCCACTTAATAAGCTAATCCAAACAAGCACTTAATTAGTTATTTTTTTTATTTTATGTCGTCACCATTCTAGCTCTAAGTAGTGATATGTTGACGAATTCTGCTGGTAAAATTGTGGTTCTGCATATATCTGGTTATACGTAGTCTGTTGTTACGTTTATAGATGTTAAAATTATCTGCCTGCCAAATTAAAATGATTCGACCTTAAATTTAGATTATATCGTATTTTTCATATGGTGCACTTTAGGCTGCAATTGGCTGACTGAAAAATAACCATGACTGAAATATCATCTGAAGTTTGCACAATGGATGGTGGCTTTTTAGAGCCACAACTTCGAAAGAATACAAAACCTTTGTGGATCGAATTCTTCCTCTTTATTAGATTTTTTAGTCAAATATTGGTCCTTTTTTTATTTAAATTCATGTACACTCACTAACTGAAGAATTATGCAATAAATATATACGCTAGTGGTTTTGGGCATCAAAATGCTTATATCTTACTAGATACGCCAATTGTTATCTACTTTAGCTTTATTATTGATCTTACTTAGGGATGTTTCTGACAAGAAGTCATGCATAACTAGTTTTCCCCAAAAGAAGGGATGATTATACCTTAATTTACACTGCTCTAGTTGTTTGAATTTTCTTTTATGTTCTTTGCATTAACTTACTGATATGTCAAATCTGATTTCCTTGTCACAAATTGTTTATCAGTGACACAATCTGTTTCCTCACACTGGATTTATTCGATGTTTTCCCCCCTTTTTGATGATAATTTATTTTACTTTCTTGTTTATTTAATATCGTAGACTAGTTATTTACTTATTTAGCTTGTTTCTTGATTTTGACTATTAAACGAATCTGGTACACTTTTAATCTTCGTGTATCATAGTACCTTTTCTCTATGTAAATATTAGTTCATTCTAAAAGCATTTCAATGTTTCTTTCCTCAGAGCGCTTGTGTGCAAAAGATGAATAGAGGCAATTGGTCTGCAACTGTTCTTTTTTTCGGTTGATTAGCCAAGATTTTGTCCCAATCTACTTGGTAGTTGAGTTCCTTTTGTGGGTTGGTTTGATGATGTTAGATAGACACACATTGGCTTATAATCCTATACCTTGAGCGTGGGCTTGCTGCTGGACATTATTAGGTTTGACTCAAAGGTTAAACTTTAAGCAGACAGTTATTCTATCTGATTGTTCAGGAAATAATCGTGGATACGTAGGCATGGAGTTTTTCCTTACTGGAAAATCATTTTCATTCTTTTCAATTATATTAAATTTGATTAGGTGTATTCTTTCCTAAAATTGCTATGGATAATGTACACCGGGACCGGGAGGAAAGAGATTGCAATCAAAATTTTTTTGCCCCCGGTAAATGTGTAATAGTTTCAAATTTGCCTCCACCCGCTACTACTTTTTCTTCTTTGCATTATTTTTTGAAGTAATGTATTATAAAGGTCAGCATGATATGAGAGCGAAATGGAAGTGAAAAATCCATGAATAAGTTTTCAATACAAATTTACTAATAAAACTCATCCATATTATTTCCCTACCATTTTTACCCTAATAATGTAAGTTATTGGACATTTGTGGTTATGCATTGTGATCCAAGTCAAATTTGACTCAGCTTGGCATCCTCTTAAGAGTGGGAGTGAATATTTCGGGATTGGGTTTTCCATACAAGTTTTCGTATAAAATTTATCCTTGAATTTTTCACTCCGATTTTAAGCTACACTAAACTTTCCCTCAGAAATGAAACCATGCTATCATACATTAGTTTTGAACTTCAATGTGCGCACTAAGGCCCCCATGCTTGGGAGTTTGAGGGGAGGGAAAGGAATTCTCTGTAAAGAACGAAGTAGAAACCCCAAAAAATAAATAAATAATTAAGAGAGAATGGAGGGGATAAAAACAAGTAAATGAACTAATTTTTAAATTTACCGCCCCTCTAAATTTGGGGTAACGAATTTTGCTATAACAATTTATTGTCGTCTCTTTGTTATCTCAAATATCGATCCAAGCACAGATTAGGAGCTGATGTATAACTGGAAACGCAAGGTATAATAAACTCCAGAGCCTGTTGACATGGTTTCTATCAACAGAATCAAGGATAGCTCACAAAATCTCACGTAAGCATTATAAATTTATAATGGAACATTCCACAATAGCATACCATCCACCTCTGACAGTATTACCTGGAACCTATCTATCTATGGAGAAATTCATAATTTTTATCAAGCATGTGCTATAAACCAATACTGGTACATTTTGGTACCTACAAGTGTCATGTGTCCTTGCTCTGGTATCCCTTGTTACCTCTGGCTCACAATGCAATTTTCATTATCAATCTCCACTCAATAGCAACTAATTATGATTTAATAAGCTAAAAACTATCTGCAATCTTATTCCTGCCTAGTTTCCAAATTTTAAAATGCTTTTTCTCATTACCGCAGCATCAATGAAGCATAATCATATACGATTTTGGATTAAAACAAATCTCAACTGTTAAGTGTTAAGTAGACCCAGGTGGCTGAAAGTGCAGCTAATGACATTATAATAAACCGGTGGTCTTGCTCAGCCAGACATATCAGGAATCAAGTAGCCGTTGAGTGAGTTAAAAATCAATAATAAAGATTATACTTCAAGAGTTAAATACACTGAAACAAAAGCCACCAATAGCCCAACAGGAGCATACCGCATCTAAACTCTAAAAGTATAATTGATAGGAGACACCGGATGTCCTGTTTTGTTTACTTTTTGATTGACAAAATAATGATACAACTCATACAAAATTTGTATTCGACAAGAAATATTTCTCACCTAGAATCCAACTAATATGCGAAAAACAAACTGCAAAGATATATGTATCCCCACGATGCAATTTCTGTAGGAAACTGACATTGCCAAATGTCCAGAATCATTCATTTTTGGGATTTATTTGATCAGGAGCTTCGTCCTCATTGTCATCGTCATCATCCTCCTCATCACAATCTTCATTCTCACTGTTATCATCTTTGTCATCACAAACTTCATCCTCACTATCATCATCTTTACTATCACAAATTTCACCATCATCATGATCATCGTTGACTCTATTCAGTTTGGCATAATCTTCCAGGGATGCATTTGGAAATAATTGTCCAACTTTATTATCTTTAGTATCTGTTGGGGTATCTCTTGAACTCTTAGATTTGTCTTTGTTCATCTGATAGCAAAAGTAGAAAGAAGAATAATCACCAACATGCATGTTTGCAGGACAGGATAGTATGACAAGGATGGTATCAATAATATAGCCACTGCATTTGCCATGTTAATTCAACCCCACCATATGAGGAGATGAATCATGCCTTACATCATCATGAATATAGAAATCGATTTAACTTTATTCACCAAAACTCAAAAGAACTGATGTGATGACAAGTATATGCAACAATAGTAAAGAATTGCATATGCATCAACAACTAGCCCTACAAGAAACTTCATGAACAGGCATTATTTAACAACTTGGTGGTATGATATGCAAATGAAATGTCCTTTAAAAATTTAGAAATCTACAGTCATGGTTTGAAGGGGAGCCTTGGCACAACGGTTGATGTTGTCATCATGCAAATGCAAGGTAAAACTGCCTACTATAGACCTACACAGTAGTTCTGACTCTTTCAGGATCCTGTACATATCAGGAGTTTTATAGCACCTGATTGCCCTTTTTTATAATCATGATTTATATTAAATGCTGTAAAAAAAGGAATAGACTTGGTTGTAGTATCTTACAGCACGCAATAGGGTTCTCCTTTCTCTCTCCCGAGAATTCTTAATGGCCTACAACAAAAATATCAGTATTATTACGAGTTTCTGCTTTGCAGAGAAGAACAAGTCTAACATTCGGAAGGTATATATATGAAAGCGCAACAAATGGGCGAAAAAACAAAATAAGAAACCTCCTCAAGCATCTTTTGCTCAGCCTCAACATCCGAAATATCCCTAAAAGAAACAAAATTACATATCAATAAAATTCATCTTTTCCTTTGTTGAAAGTTGGGTTCTGGGAATGCTACTAATGTCCATGTTGCAGAAAACTTATGTCACAAACAGAAACTGAAACCTTCATCAAATATTAAGGAATAAAGACAACCTTCCAACTATATTGTTCACCTTGCAACAACACTTTGCACAAATACCATGCTCCTTGGCACATCCTACATTAACATCGAAACCAATCAGAAAACACACAAAAACACACAGCAAATTCCGTTTTCATTTTTTCATTAATTTCATCTGGGCCTTATGATATTATCCTATGATCACTCTGCACAAACAACATGTTTTCCATTACAAGTTCCAACTAATTGAACCCATACCTTTTTTTCTCTTTCCACCTCCACATTCCAAAAAATCCATTCTTTTTCCCTAATTGCATAATTTTGAAAATACCCACTCACCCAAAAAAAAACCCCACAAAAAAAAATAGAATAAATTAATTAAATCAAGTAAGTGTGATACTAACCATGACACAAGTTATGATAAGCTTGGCGAACATTACGCTTGGAACATCTCTGACTGCAACATTAAACAATCAAATAGACAACCCAATTAACCAATTAATAAAAAAAAAGGTGCTAAAAGACAATAATCTAATAAATCAAAAAAACTGGGAAAAATTAGGAAAAAGTTAAAAAAAAAAAAAGGAGATACCATTTAGCTGGTTCAACAAGAGATTTGTACTTGCCATAACGGCGTTTCCATTCGACCTGATCCTTGCAGCGAGGGCACACACCAGTTATTTCAGATAAAGGTCTAAGCTTTCCTCCAACTTCCTGCGTGTGAATATACAATAATATAAAAATTCAATTTTTTTTTTTTTTATTTGTTTTCTTTATAAGAATGAAAGGAGAAGAAGAGTAGGGTGTTAATTACAGTTTCGTTGATTTTGCGACCACCGTTGGGTTTCCATGCATACTTGTTCTGATGCTTCGGAGGTCCACACTTCTTGCCGCTACTCATCGTAATACTGCTTCTGCTTCTTCTTCTTCTATTCTACACAATCATAGGTCATACAACAATAACTAGTTAGGGGTATAAACTATCACGGCAGCCTACCCTACCCTACCCTACCCTGCTATTTTATCTAAATAAAGCAGATTTAGAATTTTAAAAAAGTTAATTTAAAAATTAGTACAGAGACACATTTTAGAAACTTTGGCTTAAAAATTTACGAAGAGTTTATACTTATTCTCTTTTTTTATTATCTTTTTTTATTGATTTTTATGAATTTAAAGGTTATAATTTATCTAAAATTAATACTTAATTAATAAGTATGATTCAATAAATTATAATCGTTATATAGATGAAAATTAACGGTTAAGATTTGGTAGCAAGAGATAGTAAGAAAAAGAGACAGTAAGTATAACATTCTTAAAAGTTTATAGGTTAGTCTTGTAATTTTTTAATAATATAATATATTGGAAAAACTTCATTTTCTCCCACTGTGGTTTTGTGATTTATCATTTGACCCCCTGCGATTTTAAACTTATCAATTAGACTCACTGTGCTGGGATATTTTGGCATTTAACTCCCTATGATTTCAAATTTTCACTTAGACCCCATGTAGTTACAAAAATTTTCACTTAGACACCTTGTGATTTAAAAAAAAAAATTAAAATAAACTTTCTCTCTTTTTTATTTTATATCCTCGTGTGATGTATTTATGGTTTAAAAAATATTTCAAGTTATTTGTTCTGAAATTAATTTATAAATTATCTTATTTTTTAAATATATTTGAAATTAAAAAAAATATTATTTATGATAAATTAAATATGTATTATCAAAATAAGATATTTACTTTCTTTAGATTATTTTATAACGATATAGGGTAAAAAATAGATAAAATAAAATAATATTTGATTTGAATTGAATTTATTTTCTTGGTAAAAATAATTGAATTTTTTAAAAATACATTTTTATGTTTTAAACCCTAAATGATTAGGTGAGGATATAAAATAAAAAGAGAGAACATTTATTTTAAGTGGGATAAGTTATTTTGCCTACTCTCATTTTGACTACCTTTACCTACCCCTTTCATTATCGTTGGATTAGTTCCGCGAAAAAACCTGATAAGCTCCTAAAAAAAGAAGCTACACTAACGAAGCAACCGTTCACCTGGCGACAGACATCAGCGATAAAGGTGAAAAAATAGGTATAGCGTAGAGGAAGAGAGTAAGGGAAGGAAAGAGAAAGGGTGTGGGAGGAATCAGAGGCAGACCGGTGTTGTTGCCTGTGTCTGCACATGCAAACACAAAAATTTGAGAATTTTTTTTTTAAAGGGGTGGATGATTTAGATCAAGTAAAAAAAAAATTAGGAAGATTGAAAAGAAAAAATAAAAATAGGCCCAAGCCCAACCCAACCAACCCATATAATTAAAAACTTAAAGCTTAAACCCTATCCCATTGCTTTGTCTTTTTTTTTTTGAAACATAAACCTTATTAGCTCCAAACCTTAATGGATATCAATGATTCTTGAAAATCAATCTTCATCAAGTGAAGGAGAATTGCATGGGATTTTTCACGTTTTTTTTGTAAAGCAAAAGTGGTCAACTTTGGATCAAATAGACATCGGTAGAGGTTGGTTTTTGATCAATTAATCCCTACAATTAATTCATTTTAAAAAAAAATCTTCGAGGGCGCTGCCCCCAAACCCCCACCTTAAGTGTGCACACATAAAAAATTTTTCCTAGGTCCGCCACTAGGAGAAATTAAGGAGAAACAAACAGTGAAAAAGGGTTTATTTATTTTGTAAATATGGACCGTTGGATTAAATTGTAATCGAACGGTAATGAAATGGTAGGCAAAATGGGAGTAGGCAAAATAACCTATCCCATTTTAAATAGTTATTTTTTAAAAAATTTATTTTTGTAATCACAAGTGGTCTAAGTGAAATTTTTTCTAACCACAAGGTGTCTAAGTGAAAGTTTGAAACCACGATGGGTTAAATGATAAATTATTTAAACACAATGGGTCTAAGTGATAAATTTAAAATCACAGGGGTCAACTGGTAAATCACAAAATCACAATGGGTGAAAATAAAGTTTTCCCTAATATATTTATAATATATATTGTTTACTTTAAAATATATTTTGAGATGATGATTTGTATCAATAATTTTCAAAGTAATAAAATTGATGTTATTTTAACAAATAATAAATATTTATTTAAAATATAGTATTAAATCAAATTAGTAAAGAAAGTAAAAATTATATGTATATATATATATATATACATGTTTATTTAAAATATAATATTAAATTAAATTAGTAAAGAAAGTAAAAATTTTATATATATATATATATATATATATATATATATATATATATATATATATATATATATGAAATTTTCATGTGATCTATTTTGAATTTCAGAGGAAACATCAGTTGACTTTTTTTAAGGGACTAAATTGAGCCTCGTGATTTTTATTGAGAATCAAAAATATACTTTACTCTTAATTTTTTATAATAGGTCAGGTCAGACCTATAAATCAAATCTTTAATAGACTAATAAGTCAGTATAAGCTCTAAATATTTTATATAAGTTTAGGCTATCAAAATCAAAATCTGACCTAATTTAATCTGTTTACACCCATACTACTACTTTAGTACCAGTGTTTAAAAACCCAGCCCGGCCATCGACCCGGTCGAGGTCAGGAGTCACGGGGTCATGGAGAGAAGAGAATGATTAGATTTAGATTTCAAGCATTTTTATTTTTATTTTTTAATAAAACGACGTTATGTCATGGAATTTTCTTTAAAAAAAACATGCAATGACCCCCTTTGACCCGAGAGTCACTGAAACCCGACTGGGTTTTGGGAGTCGGAGGGGTCGATGTGCATATAGGGTCCAACTTGTGACCCCAACCCTCAGATGGGAGGGGTTAGGGTAGACCCGGGTCAACCGGGGGTGGGGTGGGGTGGGGTTTTAAAACACGGTTTAGTACTACTTTTTCTACCAGAGTTTTTGTTATTTTTATACTTTTATTATTATTTTAGGTGATCTACTATTACTTTTACTATTAAATATTATAAAAATATAAAAATTAAATAATTTAACCTTTTATAATAATTAAATATTTAAAAAGGTTAAATTATTTCTTTTAATTCACAACTAGATATTTTTGTGTTTTAATTTATTTTGTATTATATTAACCTTTATCATTATTTTTTTTTTTCAATTAAAAACGACGTGATTTTGGATATATCAGTCGAAGTATTATACCTGTTTCAAAAGTGAAATGATGAATCCTTTATTAAAAAGGGAAAAAAGTTTCCGATGTTACTTTAGACAACTTTGTCTAATGTTCATCGAAACGACATCGTTTTGGGGTTGAAAAATTAAAAAATTAGAATTATAAAGACTATTATAACCTTGAAATAAATTAAAATTACAAAAAGACCATGATTTTCATCCCAAAACGACGTCATTTCGATGAACATTAGATAAAGTTATCTAAAGTAACTTTAAAAAAAACAAACCCTATTAAAAAATATTTAAATTATCTTTTTTTGCTTTAAGTGAGATAAAATTAAAAAAAGTTAAAAGTTGTCTATCAAAAAAAAAAAAGTTAAAATGTTAAGTGAGATGCGTAACAAAAAAATTAGCATAAATTATTAAGGGTATTAATACTCTCTCAAAAATAAAAAGTATCTATTTGGCTATTAAAAAAAAGTATCTATTTAACTATTATATATATATATATGGACAAAATTATTTTATATATGTATAAGTTATATTCTTAATTTAATATTGATCATTGATTCTCCTTATATCTAGTTATTCTTATTTATTAGTTAGATGAATTATTGATACAAATGGATCTTCCTATATATATATATATATATATATATATATATATATATATATATATATATATATATATATATATATATATGATTATTTTACATTAGTGTAAGTTACACTCTAATCTTAATCATTGATCCTATTTATATTTAACAGTTCTGATTTATTAGATATTTGAGTTGTTAAATGCAAGAAAATCAATGATCAAGATTTGGTGTAAGTTTTCTTATTCTTACATCAGTGTAAGAATATCTAGCCCTATATAAAAACATTTTTTGATACTTCATCGGAGAGCCATTAGATCAAAGTAGATCAACGATGTTACATGTTTGTAAATTAGAGTCGTTAGATCAATGCAAAATCAACGACTCTCAGATGAGGTATGTAACACCCCGTATATATCCGGTAGTTTCATCATTACATCGTATTAAGCTACACTTAATTAAAAATGCGGAATATTCTTTTTCTTTTCAATTATGACGTCATTATACCTAGCCAAGTTGATTACTTAATCAATTTCATAAAATATCGCCTGTATGTAAATTGCAATAAGACATCTACTGAAATACCTCAATATATAAATAAGTGAGTATCTAAATCACAGATCTACATCACGTAGTTCGGACAATATCCTGATACTTTATTACAACTCTAAATCAAACTAAGACATAACTAGTCTATGTGTCATGGACAATCCTCATGCTCACCAAATCAACAGCATCTCAACAAGGTAATCATAAACATAAAATGAAGCTCAAAGCATAAAAGCAGCATGCATATCCAGCATCCAACAAGTCAGCATATAATATCATCAATATCTAACTCAGCTCCGGCCTCCTGCCGCCTGAGGTCTCAACATTACCCAAACCTGAAATAAGCATTCCCCAAACGTGGGGTGAGATCTCTAAACTAGAAATCTCAGAAAGACAAGGGGTCCTCAAAGATTTCCACCCCAAGCTCACTTACATGTGCAATATAAGTTCTAAAAGCATTAATATCAATATCAGTTCCAAAACTATGCAGTGCAACATATATTCATGCCATGTGTGTTTATCACAATTCTACTGGCCAGAGAAATGTAGGAATACGTCTATTACCCACACGTAGTACAAGGAACACCGTTTGCACCTCACCCACAGCCTCACCATCTTGTATGTACCACATACTCAGGCTTACCGTATAGGTGGAACACCACATGCATATCATAAAGGCACTAGCATATAATAGCTCAA